TTTCTAAGAAAGTTTTCCGTCTGACTTATTACATAAAGAAGTTGAGGCACTCAGGTATAACCCAATCTCTCCTCATACAATTTATTAACTCATGTGTTTTGCCCATCACTCTTTATTGTTCTCCATTATTCTTCCCTGGGCTACTCAAGAAAGACCATATAATACTACGAAGAACATTGAAGGCTGTAAGTAGGGTCAGTGCTATCCCTTTGACTCAACTAGCTGACACTGTTGTCAATAGGCATATGAATTCTTGTAAACACTTAGCTAAAGTTATGTTGTCTGATAGTGAACATCCTCTTTATTCACATTTGTTTCCTTGTATCTCTTCGGGTAAGACCAGAAGAAATTTCATAAACATTTATGCTCGTACTACAAAATATAAAAATTCGACCGTACCATATTTGGCACGAGTATTGTGTGAAGAGACAAATATCAGAAAAGAACTTTTACAACTTTTAAATCATTAACTAAACTATAAAATGTAATGATGCATATTATTGCATGTGTTATTTGTTATATTAATTATTTATTATTCACTCTGACCTAGCAATGGTGTCATTTTGTTGGGTTTTTATTTTTCCTATTAACTATCAATATTTTAACATTTTATACATTTACATAATTATAAACAGAGCTACACCATTGCAGTATGTAAGAGAAACGCTGAAAATTCCATGCTGTAAATTGTTATTGTTGTGGAATAAAGTGAATTATTATTATTAAAGAACTGATGCGATAGCACTATTATTTAGTTGGGAAACTCAGCGTTACAGACCCAGCACAAGCTTAGTGACACTTCGTTGATCTTTGTATGGGGGTCTTTTTGTCTTCTCTTTTTCCCTGCCTGTGAGTCTCATTTTGTCTGATGTTAATATAACGATGGTTTGTAAGGTTCTACTATTTCCATCCCGGTCATTCGAGGGTTTATTTATCACTGTAATATGTGAAGGATGAAGTTAAAAGTCGGTAATCGGAAGAAATCCTCCTCTTGCAATTTATTAATGAAGGTGCCTGCTTAAAACTCGGGCTACCAAAAACTTCCATCTACTGCATCTACTGCATAATCATACTTGATCGTGCCTGTAAAAATGGCATGCATTTTCATGTAAATTATGTTTATATGAAAATATAAATTATTATTATAACTGTCGTTCGGTTTGTTTTATTCGGTGAAGATGTGACCTCTATCGGTATTACCTTCTCTGGCGTGTATTTAAAATGTTTACAAGCTTCTGATTTACAAGTTCCTACTAAACTCGAGGAATGACGTGATTTCTGGTGGCAGTGTGTGCGTCGGTAGCATAGCGGTAAGAACACTCGCCGACCGTGCGCTTGGTCTGCGGTTCGATCCTCAGCCGACGCACACCGATATCACATGCTGAAAATTCAATGCTTGTACCAAACAGTGTGGAATCAAGCTATTATCAAAAGTTCCAAATTAAAATAGTATGAAATAACTATTCCTAAATTAAGTCCTTGAGTTTCAAAATGTACTTCTGAACATCCTACAATTGGCTTACAGCCAGATATCGTGGATTTTTGAAGGAGACAAGGCAGCTTTATCAAAACGTAACGGTTCATGCTTCAGCTCAGAGACCATTGTGTCACAGGATACACCATCAGTTAATATTTTACTTGAAGATACTGTAGGAAGGGAAAATATCATGAAATAACCTCCTCTGAAGATTCTGTACATTTTATAAATACTGTCCAGAATAGAGACGCTATTATCATTAAACAAGTGAAGAGCATCGTTTCCACTCAAAATCGCACTCTCACTTGAATATTTTTCTCTGAATGTTCTTACGATTACTCTTCACCTACAGGGAAGTCTCAGAAGCATGAAATGCAATGGAGCTCAAATGAACGATTGTTACCTAAGAATTGGAAGATCGATGAACCTGTGCTACACCTCTGACCAAATGTTTGATCACGATCATCGCGGATCAAGAGACCAGTGATGGTTGATCGTCAGTTGTGTCAGCAGTTACCCTTAAAGTGGGAGACTTAATGTGACACAAATGATCAGATACTACGTAGAGATGAGTGACATAAACACACCAACATGAAGCAGTCAGCTGAAATTTATGAAACACTACACAACTGAAGGTATTCGCATAATAAGGTACGCAAACCATGTGGAGAACATTGTTTAGGGACTAGTTACTCACCAGGAGTGTTAAACTGTACGTGAAAAATCATGTCGAGATATTACTGGAAAGGAGAAGGGATTCACTTACACGGCACCCATCGATGTACACTCCGTCCCAGAAAACTGGTGTAATAGAATGTCCCTCTGGTTGAACTGATTGAACGACTTCAATGAGTTTATCAAAGTAATATGATTCAAGCTTTGCAAAATCACCGCCGAAATTGTTTTCCTCCATAAACTTCAAAACATCAGGATTCGAGTTCCTATTTTGTGGAAAAACAGTTTCAAAGATTTTATCGTGTGTGAAAATACTTCGTTCTAGATTGCTTATTTGGCCCTATTGTTGCATATTGTTTCTTATGTCATATAACAACACCGGGGATTTGAGTTACAAATTATAACAGTGACTCGTCCACTGGTCTTTTCTGTGTGATTTTCCTCTCCTGTAAGTTATCAGACGTACCACAAAGTGAGCAATAGCAGTTAACTTGAAGGATATCATAAAAGATTCGAGTTATGAAATGATTGTACGACAATTCTCACTAACTTTTGATGGAGTGAAGACCAACAAAATACTTTGGATATGCTTGTTGTTGTTGACAGGATGCAGCATAAATGAACATCAGAAAATCAGAATTGTGAGTTATAGAGCCAGGTTACAGGCAATGTGGAAAAACACTTACAAAGAAAACCGTGCACCACTAAGTGTGGACTGAAGCATGAACAACCAGTCACTTGCAAGTAATGACGCCACCAGGCGTATGCAGAATATGAGTCAGCCACGGTTTCACAGCACTTCAACTAGTAGGCCTTCGTCGAATTGCAGATATTCAAACATTGCCCTCATTAAACTGAAATTGCTTCAGAGATTTTTCATGGATTATTTAGAAGAGTTCTTTTCTATGAGAAACATTGAAAATGTGGTCTACACATGATTTGTGATATTTGGATCGCTGATACTACTGATCATATTTTCATCTCTAGGATTCGACTTTTCAAGAAGCATTGGACTGTTAGTGTGTTTCGAATGTGACAGAGTGCGCCCGAGCATTACAGTCCATTTTTATACAATCAACGTGTAAGATTTTGCAGTGATTTGGGCGGAGAAACATAAAATTTCAATCAATATCTGACACCTCATACACAGTGGACCAAATAAGAGATTGGGATGTGTTTTAAATACACAATGAGCAGCAGTAATAGTTTTCAGTCATAATCCAGCTCCGAGGAGTGACATCAGGAGTTTTCCATTTCACTCATTTGTTATATATGGATAAACCATTGAAATTCCAAGATATGGCTGCTGCTTATGCAGATTCTCAGACTATCGACTCAGTCAACCAATGGACAACAAACACACAGGAAAGTCATGAATGTATTAAAGATTTCTTCGAAGCTTATCGATGAACTCATGTTACAATTGACATTCATTTAAGAACAGATAAGCATAAATCTTACCAGCAAGAAGGCCATACGTCGTTCCCACCTAAATGGACAAGCGTTTCCGGAAATACTGACGTGACTTCCTTGAAAAACGCTTTCAGAAATTCAAATGTGGTTTCATTTGCAGGATTGAATGAACCTGTTTCCCCAGTCGGCTCACCGTCCTTATAACATTCTGTCCGTATTCCTGGATAACCTTTTTCCCATGACTTTGTGTGACCTGAAATCAGCAACAAAGGGATAGAATCGATTTTACTTCACAAGTGAACATTTGGTTCAAACGAAATTATATGTTTTTACGGAGGCCTGAAGATCAGCCAGACAGTAATACTAAACTGTTATGTTCGAAAAGTGAATATGCTGAAAGTCATATGGAGACGAAATTCACACAGTGAACACTGAACCTACTTGTTCAAATTAATGAAGTATTTACCAATTCAAAATGAGTCACCAAAAGACCAAGAGACCACGAATAACACGGAACACCTAATGTGAGGCTAACATTTGACCATAAGACGCATCCACTAAAACCGCATCACTGTTTTTTGTAGCAAAATAAAAGGACTTCAGAGCAGTACACAAGGTCCGTCCAAAGTCCTCCAATGAAGCGAGTTAAAGGCATCCGGGCAAAGCGGACACCATGTATTCAAAATGAATATGTCCAACCCTTGTATCTGTATGGCCATCATAGATGTTCAGTCCTCTTAGTACTAATAATCCTAACTTCCTGTTAATCTCTGTTAGTTTTACCCTATTTTCTCCGCTACTTGCTCTACTATATATTTTATTCAATGTTCCTGTTTATTTTGCTATTATTATTACATCTTCATCTTGCTAATTTGAACCTTGATCGGAAAGAGTTCTGGAGCTTGCTCATCGAATAACTATAAATGCACGTGTGTACAACCTATTTGATGAGTTCATCAAAAAGAAAATTATCTTTGCTGCAACCGTCTTTTCAAAGGCGTCATATGATCTAATGTATATATTCAGTGAACTGGAATTTTCCAATTGAAACATGCACAGTGTTAATTCACCAACAAATACAACGCAGAATGTGAAGCTCCTCAATCACTTACCAGGAGTATCAAATTCCACGATCACACGTATCCCACGCTGACGTGCAAACTGCAACAACCGTCGAACATCCCCATTTACATAAACTAACTTTTGTGGATCATATGCACCCTGTGATGTGACAGGTAGGCACAGACAAAAATGATGAGGGAAAGTGTGAAAAACTAAATACCTTTCTGGAGAGTTCAGGATATGTGAATGAGTCATAGGGGAATGCAGTGTTATCTGTCATATGCCAGTGAAGTACATTCATTTTAACAACGGCCATAACATCCTGAATGATTGTGAAGTAGAAGTAAGAGAATAATGGGTTGGATTGACTTACAATGAATTTCTCCATCTCATCAACACTGATGTAGTGGTTGGCAGTGTCCAGCAGAAATCCTCTGTGACCATATTGTGGTGAATCCTCAATAGTTTGTTCGCGTAATACAAGCTAAATGAATTAATTATTGAGATGCAGAGAAACATAATGGGTTATTATTATTATCGCAATTGACTCACAGCTCCCCATTCACTTCTGCGCACCAGTTGTATGATAGTCTGCAAGGCGTGCAATACTCCCCATACTTCATTAGATTCAATATCAATCCTCCCATCCAGTATGCTGATTTTGTCTTCAGTGGTTATTTAGTTAATTATGTATGCATATTATGAAGAGGAGAATTAAACCTACGTGATTCATCCATGTGTTCACTGGGCCATAGTTTGTTCTCTGATTCATCACATCCACTTGTGATGACAACACTTAGTGTAGTGACGTTGCAGGATAGTCTGTCGGCATCAACTGACTGTGGCGAACGTTCTTTGTGTAGGAGACGTTTGCCGAACACTTTCAATGCTTCGGTGAGTATGTAACATGATGGATAATCGTGTTCAATTGAAAGTAGGTTGGCCACACTACACAACGATTCACCCATCTCTTGCTTCAGTGGTCTTGGCACTAAGCAATTGACTGCGTGATAGGAAATTATGAGAAATATGGAGCTAATCAAATAGGTCATTGTCATGATTTTGAGTTTCTGTGAGCTTAGTGTGAAGATTGTTTATATAACATAAATTTATATCCTTTGTCCTCTAACGTGTTTTGTGTTTCTGCTCGTGAGTGTGTCTGCATGCGATCTTATTGCATGTTTTGTAAAGAGATTTTGTCGTTCATGAAGGTGATTTGAGTGAACCAATCAAAATATCTGCAATCTGAAATAGTCTCAAATACTGGAGTCTCAGGTGAGTGTCTATTCATTAAATTTTAACAATCTCATTGAGTGATTTCACACTGGCATATCTCATTTAATTTCTTTTCAAGTATTGAATAACCAAAACTGAACAGAAAATGAAAATGGGAGAAAGCGTATGAAGTATGAATCACAGTTAGAAACATAAATCCTCCTATGATTACATCTCGAGAACTGTACTCCATATATTATCAGTCACTAATATTGTATCCTAGTGTAGCATGTCATCACTAATAATAAATTCATGACTCCAGAACCGCTAGACTGCGCAAATGTGATTTCTATCTTTACGGATTACAAGCACCATCCTTCTGGTAGTTTATAGCAAGACTTGTAAACATATTCAAAAATCACAAACAATAATTAGAATATTCTCTCCACGTCTACAGGTGTAACGATGCTACAATATTTAGACATTACTTACAAACAAAAGACTCATGCATGTGTCTAGAGTAGTTAACAGGTTTATGTGATCGAACTTGTTGATAAATGACGGGATGACTTCACATGTACTTTAGAAACTGTCTGCATGTTATGCTGCTTCAGAAGCATTAAGTTTCCATATCAGAAAATCCGATTTTACCTCTAGTAACCATGTGGGACATGTAGCAAGAAGCAATATGTGTACATGCATTAAATGGGCACTGCGGCTCATTCACTGTTCGGACATGTCCAGTTTCAGCTTATATGCAGCTCAACTGCAATATTGCTAAGGCATTCGCCAAGGAATCGCCATGTATACTCATACTGAATAAGTGATGCAGCTGGATAAAACTCAGTGACATCGACAAGTAAATCTCTAGCATAATAAATGTTTTACTGTGTCCAAATCATCAGAGGTATACAAATGATAATTAATTGTGGATGATTACAGTTAATGGTAGAAACAACTCTGTATCCTCTAAGGTTTAGGCAGTTTTGGATGTGATACAAACTAAATTCAAATATAAACCAATCATGGTGTTTTGTCTATAGGATAATACGATGGTGAATATAAATTGTGCAATTAGTCATAGTAGTAGTAATGATAATAATAACAATAACAATAGTAATAATAGAAATGGTCTTATCAATAATAAGGATGAAAAAGTGAGGCAATCTGTGATAACACGAATAATGAAAAACAGCATCATTAAACAAACAACTGTTCAGGTGGAAGTAGTCGATAAAGGCTTATAAAAACAAATGAACCGACTAAGTAATGTTAGATTGTAAGGGAAGGAAATGAAACACGTTTATAATGAAGATAAGATTAAGGGATGATAAGAAAGGGGATGAAAATACAAACAAAGGGTGGTGTAGAAGTTATTAGTTGGTTACGTCCTAATAGGCCAAGGGAGGGATAAAGGCTGTACGAACTTTTTTTGAATACATAATTTAGGTTTAATAGTTCGAATGCCTATTGCCTCAGCTGTGTGTAGTAGACGAATACGAAGTCTATTGGAAAGATTCGGTGGGATACGATGGATCACTTTGAAAGCTCTCGTTTTCTCAATTACATGACCACTATCAATTAAGTGTGACAAAATTGAGCTACGGATTGTTTTTGTCTGTCCTTTGCCAAACCACGATGGGAGATGCTCACTAACACGTTGGCTAAGCTGTCTAGTAGTACGCCCAATATAACTGTCACCGCAGGGGCAGTTGAATTGATAAATACACATAGATGTGGCAAAACTATCAAGCTTATCCTTCGTTTGCGTCCCAATCATTCGTCGGCTAGAGAATGACAAACAAAGGTGTGCTGCGTAAAATGTTCTTCGTATACCCCTTGAAAGTCGTTGGAATAGAATCTCACTTGATAAGTCACCATTAAATTGTAACTTAATAAATAGAGGTTTCTTACGTGCCGTCAGAATCTCCGGTTTTTCTCCGATGTGCAGTCAGTTTGAAAATTTGTATTCTCAAACATCAGATCTTACCCCATCATCAGACGAGGAACTAACTAGGTTCAAAACGACGGTAGTTGACAGCTGCCAACAATACAAGAATAATAAACATTCAGTAAATAAGCTGTTATCTAAACAACACAGAGAAGCTCTAAGAGAACTTAGAAGCAACGAAAGCTTAATTATTAGCAATCCGGATAAAGGTGACGGTATAGTTTTACTGGACAAAAGCGATTATGTGGAGAAAATGGAATGCATTTTGAATGATCAAACTAAATTCCAATCTCTTGGGGTTTCCAAAGACCTCAATGGAAGAGCGGAGAAACTAATGACCGACTCCCTCAAAAAACTGAACCAAATAGGAGTATTATCACCAACCACGTATGAGTCCATGAAGCCAACGGGTACTTATACTCCACGTCTTTACGGTCTACCAAAAGTTCACAAACCGGGTCTTCCTCTTCGCCCTGTTTTAGATATGTATAACTCTCCATTTCATGGAACAGCGAAGTGGTTAGTGAAGATTTTGGGTCTTTTGCACAGAGAAATCGTGCAACATCGAATTAGTGATGTCTTTGACTTTATTTATAAAATATCCGAGACTAATGTGAGGTATAAACGCATGTTATCCATGGATGTATCATCACTATTCACTAATGTACCGCCTATGGAAACAGCAGACTATATTTGTCAAGAAATCGCCGAAAGGCAATTAGACTTAGGAATCCCCTTGTGTAGCCTCAAAGAATTACTTCTTAAATGCACAATGAATGTTCACTTCGTCTTTAATAATGCATACTATCGACAAGTAGATGGAATAGCTATGGGTTCACCATTAGGCCCAATGTTAGCTGACTTCTTTCTCGCAAAACTTGAAAACGGGAAATTGAAGGACATCATCAAGCAGTTTGATATGTATTATCGATATGTCGATGATACATTTATCTTAGCTGACGAGAATGTTAATATAGACGAATTGTTGCTGAAATTCAACAACATCCACCCTTCGCTTACCTTTACTTGTGAAGAGGAGCAGGACAATAAACTACATTTCCTGGATGTCTTGCTAAGTAGGAGAGAAGGTGGGTCACTTGGGAGAAGCGTGTATAGAAAAAGCACTTTCACAGGGCAATATACACACTTCCTTAGTTACGTGCCCATTAAATATAAAAGGAATGTTTTAAAATGTCTTGCGAGCAGAGCAAGAAAGATATGTACAGATGACCTCTTACAAAAGGAATTTGAATATATTCACGAATCCTTGATGGAGATGGGCTATCCGAGTAATTTCATAAAGAAACATATGAAAACATCGGAGAAAAAACCGGAGACTCTGACGGCACGTAAGAAACCTCTATTTATTAAGTTACAATTTAATGGTGACTTATCAAGTGAGATTCTATTCCAACGACTTTCAAGGGGTATACGAAGAACATTTTACGCAGCACACCTTTGTTTGTCATTCTCTAGCCGACGAATGATTGGGACGCAAACGAAGGATAAGCTTGATAGTTTTGCCACATCTATGTGTATTTATCAATTCAACTGCACCTGCGGTGACAGTTATATTGGGCGTACTACTAGACAGCTAAGCCGAAGTGTTAGTGAACATCTCCGATAGTGGTTTGGCAAAGGACAGACAAAAACAATCCGTAGCTCAATTTTGTCACACTTAATTGATAGTGGTCATGTAATTGAGAAAACGAGAGCTTTCAAAGTGATCCATCGTATCCCACCGAATCTTTCCAATAGACTTCGTATTCGTCTACTACACACAGCTGAGGCAATAGGCATTCGAACTATTAAACCTAAATTATGTATTCAAAAAAAGTTCGTACAGCCTTTATCCCTCCCTTGGCCTATTAGGACGTAACCAACTAATAACTTCTACACCACCCTTTGTTTGTATTTTCATCCCCTTTCTTAACAAACTAAATTCTTCAAATTCGAAGGACCATATAACAGTCCTTTTACCTAGATGCCAAGTTTCACACTAGCTGTTGATGAATTCTGACCATATGTCGGTTCCATGACACGCTGTTCAATTTATTTTATCAACTAGATGAATCACCAATCACATTCTTTAGAGGTGTGAGGTACTTTGTTTGAACGGTAGCTCTCTTTAGATATTATCTGAGATAATCACAGAGAAGCACCGGTTTTAGCCTCTCTGCTCATTTTAATTCATATGGGGTTATGATTCCTGAATTACTTGAATATGAATTGACAGTGCTGTAGTAAGCCGAGCACTTTATTATAGGTTTATAAAGAAGACGACATGGGTTATTTATTCATCGACTTTTCGTTCTTAGTTTTTTTGGGTCTGTGAGTATCTGATAAAGTAAACACTTTATCTGGTGGCAATAATATTTTGTTCGAATGCTAATGTACCTTTACTGTATCTTAGGTTAAACCAAGGTTTCAAGTGAAATCTGAGTAATATAGCACGAACCAGACTCTTTTTCCTGAATATCTTTAGTGTTACTTATCTGTGCTCACCAATGCCCTCCGGTTCATCCACAACACGTTTGCTAGTAGATAATAATCAACTGGAGACAAGCTGTAAACATCTGCATCCATTTCCGTAAGAATTCCAGAGTTAGCAGCTATACAGTCCTTGAATTACTCTACTGTGTCCAAGATTACAGATAATTAGGCGTCTTTAGGCGTTAGGGTTATCATCGGTGGCAGTAGGAAGCTTTGTCTTACTCCCAACTCCACTTCAAGAGCTTCTACAAGCTTTCACCATTGAATCTCTTGAGGTTTAGCCTTGCCATATGCCTTTTGCAAAGAATTAAGCAACCCTTCGTTGGTTGTTTGACAGACAGGACACCATTTCAGTGGGTGGGTGTCGTTCCTCCCTTTCCATATGGTCTGTAATAGTAACGTGAGGCAAACTTCTGAGACCTCTTGATTCTTTTTCAGTCTTGCAAGAGGAACTTAGACCTTCAGTAGCCCTATAGCATTCAGGACCTCTGCTTTAGCTTGAGGATCATTATTCACTAGCATTACTTTGTCCGTTGGTGGTGGTTAGTACAGGAATACTTTTAAGTGGTTCAAACGTCGTTTCCTCTGTCTTTATTCCTCCTTGCTAATTAGAATCTCTTCACTATCTTCTACTGGTTTCGACCGTGTGGGTCTCATCCGGACAGTGACACAGTTATCTGGTGTAATCCATGGTCTCATACATGTAACTGTGCATCGGTCGTTCAGGTGTACAATTACCGCAAACCAACCATGTGGTCAGGAGTTCAATTTCCGGTCGACGAACCTTGCTAGGACGGTAGCGAGGCCGGTAAAGAGGGAAGATTGGCCATGAGGATAGCAACCCTTATAAGACAATATAAACTATTATTTGCCTGCGTTGGGTAC